GGGGTTCTTGGGGGGGGGGGGGTGGTGGAGAAGCAGGCAGCCAGGAGACTGCAGTTGTGACAGACAAGCGCAGCTCCAACGAAGCTCATACATACCTCATACATACCTAACCTACCTAACCTACATACCCCAACCGGGGTTATCCATGGAAAAAAAAAAAAAATCACAGCCAGGACCAGTAGGGAACCGACGATCAGAACCACAGGTCGCAGCAGATCCACTGTGGCGGTCTGCATGCGCTCGTCAGCCACGCAGGGAAAACAAGGATCTACAATTATCAAGCATGTCGCCCTGGTGACACTTGCTATAAAAGAAACAGCGAACAAAAATGGAGGAAAAGAAAAAAATTCTCCAGAGAAAAATTTAGCTCCTTACTTTTGATACTAGGCAAAAAACTGGAGATTTGTCAGCAGGTTGGGGGTTTGGCCACCAGCATGGGCCACCCCTAGGCTGGCTTTGTCTTTTATGTGCCCAGCATCCTACTCGTGCAGGTGGCGATATACCCTACCATACAAGATCTACGATCTGTTGCCCTGTGTCCTTCAATGGAGAGAGAAATTAATGTTTCAACCTTACTAAGGACAGAAAAAGTAATTAATTGCGAATCAGAAATGAGTAATAAATCTGGGATCACTAACACCAAAGTAGGTACACGAATGCTAGAAGTCTAGCAAACAAACTAGAGGAGCTTGAACTTATGCCCCTCGAAGAGGACTTTGACATAGTGGGCATAAACAAAACTTGCTCAAATGACTGAGCAACTAATGTACAAGGGTACAACCTGTTGAGGGACAGGGTTACGAGAAGGGGGGTTGGGGTATGCATGCATGTGAAAAACAACTTAACTGTACACATACGAGATGACATTACGACAGAGTAGTGATTGGGATTGAGTGGTGAGACTGAATCTTGTGGTAAACTTATCATGGGTGTGTGTTCTATAGGAGACATAGGAGGGGGCCCACCTGCACTCCCAAATACAAATAGCTGGGAAGCCAGGAAAGGTTATAATGGGTGATTTCAATTATCCGGACATTGATTGGGCAGATGTAACCACACATTCTATAAAGGCTGGCCATTTTCTAAACCTGTTGTGGGACAATTTCATGGACCAGATGGTTATGGCCGCGACCAGGAAGAATGCAATTCTGGATCTATCACTAATAGTGCAGACCTAGTTGAAGACATGCGATTAAGGATACACTGGGCAATAGTGATCACAGGGTGATTACCTTTAATGTTGGGTACATAAAAGAGAACTGTGTTTGACAAGACCACTAAAATTTAAAAAAAGGCAAACTTCGATAAGTTGCGGCATAGAGTGAAGAAGAGTGAAGAAGAGTGAAGAAGAGTGAAGAAGAGTAATGGTATTGTTTTAAGAAAACCTTGCATAACGCTATTGCCAAGTGCATACCATTGGGGAACAAAAATAAAAGATCAAGAGCAAAGCCTGCATGGCTAAAGAAAAATGTAAGACAACACATCAAAGACAAGAAGCTGGCATTTATAAAATAGAAGATGAAGGGGACTGCTTTGGCATTCTAGAGCTAAAAGGAATGTAATAAGAGATGCAAACACGAAATCCGGGCAGCTAAAATAAATTACGAAAAACATAAAATCGCCAACAGTTAGTAAGAAAAAAAAAAAACTCCAAAAATTCTTCCAATATATTAACAGTAAAAATAAAAAGCTAAGGACAGAGCAGGTAGGCCCAATAAAAGATGAGAACGGGAGATTAATCACAAATGATCGGGAGAGGGCTGGAGGTATTCATTTTTCTCCTCAGCATACACGCTAGAAAAAGACAGGTTTAATAGAGATAAGAATGTGAGCTACTTGGGGCGTAAGATACTGCAATGGTTGACAGTAGCCGGGTTCAACACAGACTAGAAAAACTTAATGCAAATAAAATCACTAGGACCAGATGGAGTACTTAAAAATGCTCGGCCAGACTATAGCAAGACCGTTAATCCTCATCTTCAAGGACTCTTTAATGACTGGAAGTGATTGGCGTAAGGGAATGTACTGTAGACAAAGCAATAATTTTGCCACTTTATAGATCACTGGTTCGGCCACATCTTGAGTATGCGGTTCAATTTTGGTCACCAATCCACAGGAAAGGTGTCCTGGAGCTGGAGAGAGTTCAGAAAAGAGCAACTAAGCTAATTAAGGGGCTGGAGGATCAAGGCAATGAGACAAGGTTATAAAATTTAAACTTGTTCACACTCGAGGTGAAGAGATTAAGAGGGGACATGATTCTGATGTACAAAAATGTTTGGTGGTGATGGTAACTTGTGCACTAAACTTTTTACTGTAATCTCCCTAAAACAATGCTAGAGGCCACCACCTAAAATTGGTGGAGAAAACTGTAAAGCGCAAAAGGGCGTAGGGGTTTCTTTTCAGTTAGAACAGTAATATTTTGGAACTCTGCTGATACCACTGCTTGTGGCAGAGAACATTGAATCATTCAAAAAATCAATTAGATAGCGTCCTAAGAGACCATAATAAACTCTTATACACAAGCAAACACACACAACTCACACAAAAAGATAGAACTTGATGGACCTGTGTCTTTTTTCAACCTCACATACCATGTAAAACTCTGTATTTACTGCATTTAAATATGAAGTCATCAAAAGCAAATTAAGACGATTAAACACACAATCGTTTCCAGGATAATACATGCCGCATCTCAGCAGAACAGTGAGTACACCGGGGATTTTTATTTTCTTGTTAGATGAGAGTTCCGATTAGTTGAAAACTGGATAACTGAAGTTACTGTACATCAGTTTTAAAAATACCTGTTCTCCAAATGCACAAAAAGCAGGCTCATCACAAATAGGCAAATATCTTTGGTATTTACTCAGAGGGCAAACTGAAACAGCCATAACTGAGGCAGGTACGGAGTTTGTAGGATTTAGTAAGGCAACATTTTGTATTATATTTAGAAACTCTGTGGCTTTCAAAATGGAAATAAACATATGCAGTACCATTGGCAGCTTCTCCGCTAGTATTTTGGCAACAGCTAGAGTGTTTTCAACAATATCTTCCACTTTGATTCCTGTGTGACCCACACGTATTGTGCTGTAAAGTATTAAGACAACATAATTTCATTAGTAAATAGCATTTTTAGCATTTTAGCTGAATTTGAATTTCTAATTGTATATCACTTACTAGCAACATCCTCTGTTAGTAATATGAAGTTGAGTTCCCTGGATGAACCGATTCAGTTCAGAAGCTAAGTGTTTAGCCTTCAAATTCACAGACTGAGGCTCTCTGTAGAAAAATAAAAAAAAGGTTTAAATTTTCAAAACTGTTTTGGCAAACAAAAAAAACTGCAGGCAGAAAAGATAAAGAGCCCTGCCCAAATAGGAAAGGAACCTGGGCTAAAGTCAAAAAGAATAGTCACCTCCATGGGTGCTATAGTCGCCCGTAAGATCAATAAAACTAATAGGGTAATGCAGCCAGGAAGCCACCAAAAGATTCTGCTATCAGACAAGCAAAGTCTTCCTACTTTCAAGCCAGGGGAGCTTTGGGGAAGGGGAGGGTTCACCACTTGACCTCAGTCTAGCACACAAAAACTTAAACACAAGAACTTAAAAGATTAGGGCCTCTATTGCTTGTAGGGCTGCAACAACTAATTGATACAGTTGATGCCAACAATTCTCCTCGAGTAGCTGATTCCGACCACACCGTTCTCCCTGCTGCAGCAGTTTGTGTCCCATTGAATCCAAGCCGGTGTTGGCAATGAAACAATTAAAACAAATTGTATAGAATATATAT